TGTTGGACTCGATGATCTTGGAGGTCTTTTCCAACCTTAATTTGATGATTCTCTTCTAAGTGCACAACACATCTTTGGTGTGTGTCAAGTCATGTTCAGAAGAACACACTTCCTTACCTTTAAGTGTCTCACTGTAGCATGGAAACATTGATGGGCGCTTTGCTGCTGACACAGGGATGCTGTCAGGATCAGAACCAACTTTCAGTGCTGCTTTGCGGGCATGTGGAGGAGGAGGAGGAAGCCCAAAACCTTCCAAACCGCAACAGGCTGCTCCGGCTTTGTTTCCCACACCTCAGACTACAGCTCTCCTCTGAGCAACTGTAACGGACGGAGGACACCTAGTGGGGTTTTGCTCAAATACCAACACCACAAAACCTCTTCCATCAGAAAACGATTCACTAAAAAGCACTACTAGCACACAGATTTATTTTTTTTTTTTTAAATTCATTTGTTGATGTTACAGGAAAAAATCCCAGACCGTTTTCCCAAATGTTTTCTAAGCCTGGTCATGGCACCACACACTGCTTCGGTTTCTTTCCTTTATCCACATTCTTTGACTAACCTGGTGTTTCTCAGAGTTTGAGGTCAACAGATCTCTGCCACGTTCTGAAAGTGTTTCATGCCCTAAACCCACCAGAAGAGTCAATTGGCATTAGCAAGGTCATCAGCATTACTGGCTAGAAGGGCTCCTTGGCCAGTACAGCTCCAAAACACAGGACAACAAACAATAATTTAAACTGGGTGCAGGCAGAACTTTTCACTTTTACTCATTTGTAATTACTAGAATATTATGCTATCAACAGTAAAATAAATATTTTCAAAATCTTTTTGTTGACTCACTAATATATTGAGTGCTATCGATGCAGTTGGCAGAGTTTTTACAGCAGGCACTGTAAAAATCAGTTCACAATTTCTATTTTATTGAACAGGAGGAAGATGTTGTAGGATGTACTCTGATCCTTGACAGATTTTTTTTTTTTTTTGGGGGGGGGGGGTCTAAAGTCCTTCTGTCTTCTGGATTTCTCTAAGCTGAGTCTTTTGGGTTGGATTACTGCACCTGTGTGAGAAGTTTTTTTAAAAAGCCAAAGTTAAATGCTGTGTGTCTCTTTGGGATTCTCAGTCCATCTTCTGCTTTAGTCCTGGAACTGAGCTTTTATTAGACCAGAGCTCTGGAAAAGCTATTTTCTGTTGTCAGCTCCTCCAGAATATTGATTTGGAGCACTGTCTGAAAACATAAAACATGAGCAAGTAAACTAACTTTATCTACTTCATTACAGATTTAGCTAAAGAAGAAATATAAAGAAATCCCCAGACAGCCCCTCTTCAGTAGCTGAAGTGCTGAGAGTACTGAATGTGCTGAGTACCCACACTGTCCTTTCATGTCTCCAGGTAGGTCTTGCAATGATTGATAACTCAACCTATAGCTCCAGCCTGCCCAGTAATTGCCTTAAATACCTGTTTCATCATATTCCCCCTGCTGGCTCCCAAGTTTGAGAGGCAGACAAAGCCAGGCAACAATGTTTGATGGCTTCAAAGTAAAATAGAGTCAAATAGAGGCAGGAGAACCTCTTCCTACCCCTCCCAATCAAAGCTAAACATACTTCTGAAACATGCTTTGAGAGGGAATTGACTGGGAAGGGCCATTTATCCTCCTGTCTCTGATGGTAACACAAAGCCAACAGCTCCCCAAAAAAAAGCAGCACAAGCCTGAAACAGGTCAGAGAATGTGGTGAGGGGGAAGATGAATTGAGAAGCAGCCTTAATATAGTGTAATGACAGAGATAGTTTCAAATATCTTCCTAGTATGAAAAACTACATGAAATTGGTAACTGAACCATTATTTAGGCTCTGTCTGGGTGAATTCACCAAATGTGCAGGACAACTGACTGTTATGACACACTACTGTTAGTTTTTTATTGTGTGAAATCAAACTACCTTCATTTTAAGTTTAGTCCCAGAGTATAGAGAGGATAAAAAAAGCACACACACACTGATCACAGCAGTACAAGGAAGAGACTGAGGTGATGGGATGAACCACCACCTTGGTTTGCACACTAAGCCCTATGGCTAAAAAGCAGGGTCACCTCCCTGACTACCAGGCAATCATCCTTTGGAGAGTTCAAGGATGACGCACTTCCCATTCACTTGGGCACTAGGTCAGCCTTTCTGAATGAGATTTCCCTCCTGCCCACGCTGTGTTTGGTGCTCTTACTTGAATGAACTTCCATTATCAGATAAGAGCTGGATACAGGCTCCATTGTTCCCCCAGCTCTTCACTTCTTACCCAGAGATTTGGGTTACACTAACTGAGTGTGCAGTTCATGCTAGGACATTCTCTGGCCATCCATCCAGAATGACAGGCGACGAAACTCAGAGCTTTGACACAAAAAGCAGAGGTAAGATGAGCTGCCAGATCATGAATTAATACCCCTCCACACTGTTTAACACAGTGAACCCTGAGCATGGAGCTGTTTCTCTGACTAGACATGCCTGTTCATGACGTGCTTCTGTGCTGAGAGAGGAGTCACAGCAGTGAGTTATCACCGGTTTCCTTCCCAGCACCAAGGGACACCATCAGCTGGGTGACAGGAAAGCTCACCTATAATTACACTACAATGCAAAAGCAGAGATCTGTTGGTTTATCTCCTTTTCAGATTTAGTGCTGTCAGCCACTGTCTAGGACTTTGTTCAGTGTTCATAAAACACCTCTGACACACAAACTTGTACTATCTTCCTCTTTGAAGGCCAGGACTTTTCCAAACTCTTGGTGTTAGGCTTAAGGGTCCCTTCGGGGAAAAGGGAGCAAGCTTTGCCTATTTCCTTGTTCTGAGCAAGTAATGAATCATCATTTAAACAATATTGCCTCATAAACAGACAGTCACAGGCTGATAAACAGTCACAGCCTCTGCTTTTTCCCTGAGCCTTGTGGATCCTCCCTAAGCATCTCCCTGGCACAGGGCAGAGACTGTGCAGGCACTACCCTGAACCTGAAAAGTTCTGTGCACTTCAAATATTTATCACGATAAAGGAAGATTATCAACAGATAAGGAGCTGGGGAGGAGAGGATTAGCCTAGAAAAAACCACGAACACAAGGTAGACTTGGTGGTTGAAGATTTGGATCTTCTTGTGCTTGCAGTGGGTATAGGTGACCTATAATCTCCCCTCTGCATCCATCCTTAATCCCATGGGGTTTCATCATCAGGAAAGTCTCCCAACAGGCTGTTTTCTTCTTTACAATGGTTCCCTACCTGGCTTCAATATTTAAAGGTGTTGCCAGTTCTTATGATTTTATCACAACTGTCCCACATTGCTGTTCTTTTAATTAAAACCAGAACTCCCAAAGGCAAGCTACTCTGCAGGAATCTCAGGTTTCATTTAACAATAATAATAATATTCAGATATTTCCAGATGTCAGAAATGCTACAGAAGAGCTTGGAAGCGAAAAAAAAAATAGGTATTTTAAAGATTAACAATGTAGAACAAGAAAACCAAACTTTCTAAAAGTGAGAACAAGACTGTTCATATTCCAAATCTCTTTTTTCAAATAAAATAATTTTCCCCCACTTGGAGGGAATACAAGAGGATGAAGCTTGAGTCAGTGTTGACTGTCTGGTATTACTAATACTGATTTTTATAGTTAATTTTACAAATAAAATCTGATTAGTCTAAAGAGGTCAAATAATCTCATACACAAGAAGGAAGGAGTATTCTAAAACTTGTTTATTGTTCTAATCCCTGTTATGTCTCAGATTAATTGAAAATTAATTCTGCTTTGCTTTTGCTATTGTTCAGACAGCACTAAGAGAACATCAGACAGTTTACAAATGCTGAAGGCTGACTTAAGTAACTGAAATATGAACACATGACCTTTATATGAGGGATGGAAGCTGAGCATTCTTTAATTATGTTCTCTGACTGGTCCCAGGCTGTAACTTCTGCTAAAATGAATAGCATTAGAGATACAAAAAGCGTGCTTTGTGCAGCACTGGCACCAGAGGAAGGCAGGCAGATTCAGGTCCACAATAGCTGTCCTGTTCCTACAGGACAGATGGTGTCTTCACCAGCAAAATGCTTAAATACCATCAATTCCTTGCATGTGCCTTTACTCTGTTACAGCCCTATAAGATCACACAAATGCATCACTCAGATTATCTCACCTGATGGACTCTTTCAAAGAGTTTATTTATTGCAACCCTACAAGGGCACTCTGAACCTTCAGGTGAGGACACTGTTAGGGCACTGCTGTGAGTGTTGGATGTAATGGAGGGATTGGAATGCCTGGAGCTGCAGTTGGCAATACCACCTGAGAGCCTCTGGGTAAGGCCTGAGGGACAAAGAAATGAAGGGGCTGTCATTGTGGGAGGCTGCTCTTGGCCACCTAGCCAAGATGACAACACCGAGGAATTATTCTTTACAGAACCAAGGGACACGTCCAAATCAACACACTTGTCCTTGTGGGGGAATTCACCTGGCCAGGTGTTAACTGGGAACACCACACAGCTGGTAAAAACAGGTCCAGGGGATTCCTAAAACATCTGAGTGATAACTTCTTGGTACAGGGGCTCAGGGAGCCAACTGGCAGAGGTGCCCTCTGGGATTTGTTGCTTGCTCCCAGAGAGGCTCTCATGGGTGAAATGGCCATTGGTGACTGTCTTGGCCACAGTGACCATGCAGCCATTGAGTTTCCCATCTCTCGTGGTTCTCCTGCTCCCATTTTGCTCCCAAAATGGACCAGGCACAGGCGAGCACAGCTGGAAAACCAGCATCTTTTATTAATGTTCAATCTCCCTGTGCTGGAAGCACCTTTTACCCAGTCAGAGTTGATTTCAGCAAAGTTGCTGAGCTGCTGCCTTTATGAGTTTGTTCCTTATCTTGGGAGTTCTGCCAAATGTCCTAACACCTGACCAACCAGGCCAGCCCATGCTGCTCCCTCAGGGAGCTGTGCAGGCTCCAGGTCAGCTCTCATCTCCGGGGCCTGGCCTGGTGCTGGCAGTGGGCACTAATCCTCCGGCCTTCCCGCCATGCAGGGGATCCGGAACAGCCGGCGCAGAGCCCGGAGCACCCGCCTGGGGCGGGAGGGACGTTTCCTGGGGACCTGGCTCTCTGTGTCTGCCTCTGGCACCTGCTCTCTGGAGCCAGGAGAAGCTGCTGCCTGTGCTGACCCCTGGGGAGCAGGGTGAGGGTCCTGCAGGAGCTGTGGGTACTTGGGGTTGACCCAGATGGTGCGGACGGTGATGCATTCACAGTTCTCCTGCAACAGCTCTTGGTCTCTGTCATCTCCCTCTTCAGACAACTCTATGTCTTCGCTGACTTCCCCCTGGGACAGCTCTGGGTCTCCTCTGACTTCACACCAGGACAGCTCCTGGTCAGTGGAGTTTTCCCATTGGCGAAGAACTTTATCACTGTCATCTTCTGGATCTGCTTGGGATAGCTCTTCCTCTTTCCACTGGGACAGCTCTTGGCCCAAGGAGTATTTCCACTCATTCTCCTCCTCAGCCAAGGCCCACTGCTCAGTCCGTGGCATGGGCAGTGCAGCACTCCATGGTGTCCTTCTCCACTCCCCTCTGAGGGCCTCCAGCCAGTGAGGCAAAGGGCTGAGGGGACAACAGGGGTTGTGTGGGGCAAGGCCTGGGCTCTCTGCCCCTGCTGCCTTCACTCGCTCCCACGAGGCAGGAGAAGCTGCTGCCTGTGCTGACCCCTGGAGAGCAGGGTGAGGGTTCTGCAGGAGCTCTGGGTACAACGGGTTGATCCAGATGGTGTGATTTGGGATGTGTTCCCAGTTCTCCTGTGACAGCTCTTTGTCACTGTCATCTCCCTCATGGAACAACTCTGGGTCCACTCTGAATTCCCCTTCGAACAGCTCTTGCTCCATGGAGCCTTCCCATTGGCAAATCACTTTCTCACTGTCAAACTCTTCTTGGGACAGCTCTTTGTCTCTCTTGCCTTCCCATTGGGACAGCTCTTGTCTTCTTTTTTCTTCCCACTGGGACAGTTCTTGGTATATCTCAAATTCCTTTTGGGACAATTCTTGGTATTTCTCATCTTCCTGTTGGTACAGCCATTGGACTGTCTCACCTTTCCTTTGGTACAGCCTTTGAAGACTCTCATTTCCCCATTGGGAAGGCTCCTGGTGTGTCTCATATTCCCACTGGTACAACTTTTGGACACTGTCATCCTCCCCTTGTGACAAATCTTGGTATCTCACACCTCCCAATTGGGAAAGCTCCTGGCATCTCTCATATTCCCATCGGTACAGCTTTTCACAATTCTCACCTTCCCAATGTGGCAAATTTTGGTATCTCACATCTCTCCACTGGGAAGGCTCCTGGTGTCTCTCATATTCCCATGGGTACAGCTTTTGGAGACTTCTATGTCCCCACTGGGACAGCTCTTGGTCCAAGGAGTATTTTCGCTCTTCCTCCTCCTTGGCGAAGGACCACTGCTCAGTCTGTGGCCCTGGCAGCTCTGCCACCCCCACCGCCCCCTCCTGACAGCGAGGTGAGGGGCTGGGGGGGCAGCAGGAGCTGTGTGGGGCAGGGCCCGGGCTCTCTGCCCCTGCTGCCTTCACCTGCTCCCACACGGGCAGGGCTCCTACCCTGGCCCTCACGTGGCGCCTCATCCACGGGCTCGGCAGCCCCTGGGCAGGGTAGGAGTTGCGGTTTGCCCTCTCCTTGAACATCTCCATTGTCCTCTGCCTCAGAGGCTCTCAGGGAGCTGCTGCCTCCTGAGTGAGGCACTCTCTGCACGGGGGACACCCCAGGGCTCTGCACCCCTTCAGTGCCCCCCACCCCCAGTGTCACAATGGCCTCTGGGCACGACGTGGCCCCCGTGTCAAAATGGCCACCCCTGGCACCCCAACAACCATGGAACTGGCTGGAACCAGCTGGAACCTGTTGGATCCACCTGGAACAGGCCTTGTCTGGCTCTGGGCAGCCCCCAGACCTGCAGGCCCTGGTGTGCCCAGACCCCTGGGAGGCTTTCGACACTGTCCCACACGACATCCTGATCTCCACATGGAGAGTCATGGGTTTGGAGGGTGGGCTACTCGGGGGATGAGCAATTGGACGCAGTCAGAGAGTTGTGGCCAGTGGCTCCTTGTCCAGGGAGAGGCCAAGGATGAGGGGTGTCCCTCAGGGCTCGGCCTTGGGACCAGGGCTCTGGAATGTCTTTACCAGTGACACAGACAGTGGGATTGAGCTCAGACTCAGCACGGTGGCAGGTGACAGGAGGCTGAGCAGGGCAGGTGAAATAATAAAGGATGGAGCCATCCAGAGGGACCTGAGCAAGTTTGAGAAGTGGGACCATAAGAACCTCATGAGGTTCAGCAAGGCCATGTGAACGGTGCTGCACCTGGGTTGGGCCAATTTCATAAACACTGAATCCCAGAATCATTAAGGTTGGAGGACACTTTCAAGATCATCCAATCCCGCTGTCAACCCAGCACCACCACAGTCACCCCTAAAACATATCTCCAGGTGCCACATCCACACGCCTCGTGAACATTTTAACAGAGATTCACTATGAACCTTCAGGTGAGGACACCATTATACAAGGCACCATCTAAACCAGCAGCACAAAGACACGCCCTTCCACAAAAGACTCAAAGTTCACTGCCTCAAATTCAGGCAGCAGCACCCCAGGTGAGAAAGCAGACAAACAGGACTAGGTGGAGAGAGCAAGTTCACACACTTGTCTAGACATTGTGACCACTAAAGAGTTTGGAATTTTATTTATTTTTGTATTTATTTAATATGATCCACTGAAGAGGTGTGTTTGCAAACTACCACAAGTCCTGAACCTCTTCAACTCTGTACCAATGCATTCACTATTTCAATGCATAATATCCAAAGGAGCAAATGCAAAACTGGTCAAATCAGAATTAGGCTCTAAAAATGAGACTCAGTCACAGGAATTCTCACCCAAGAGATCCCTGAATACGGCACAATTATAACCTCAGTGTGGTATTTATTGAGGATGGAGTGTTTTCAACATTCCCTTTGCCTATTGAACCCTGATGCACTAGTATATGGATGCCAGATTTTAATGGCAAAGAAGCATAGGAAGCATGTGACAGCCACATTCCTATAATACCTGTTGCAACTTGTTTTTTAGCCTCCTCCAATCTATATAAACTAAAGTAAAAAAGTGAAAGCTCCAATATATGTAATCTAAATTGGAAAAGTGAAAGAAAAATACTCTGAATTTAAGAGTCTAGACCCCTGCCAGGGTGAGTTGGGGCCAAGCTGGAGGCCAGAGCTTTCTGGAATGGAGTGGCAGGGCTGGCTGAGGAGCAGCCAATAGTTTGCAGGGTGGTGCCTGAGGACACCCCCACCCCAAATCTTAAAAAAATCTACTGCTAAAGGTTAGTGAGGAGGCTCCTCCCTTCTGCTCCACACTGACAATTCAAAGCAGTTATTCCTTGGAAACAGAGATGGTGGTATATCCAATGAAGGTCACAGCCAGCCATGCTCCAGAGCAGGCCTACAGAAATCCTGTCAGGTTGTTCAGCACAGCCTCACCTTTGTGAGCCAAGTAACACCAAAACCTGGTCAGAGTTTGAACCTGCACAAAGCACTGCTAGGTGGCATTTCTCTTCGATCTACCCTAGTTGGTCATTCACCAGTTTTTGCACCTATGCCTCTCAAATCATGTTGACTAATGCTCCTCAACAGAAGCAGAATTCCCCATATCCATCTGCTTCCTCTGGCTGCATCCCCCCTTCTTGTAGCCACCAACAAACAGGCAAAATCATCAGACCATTCACTCAAACCCAGTAATTTCCTTTTACTGAAGCAAAACTCAACCTTTTTATCCACCCCTTGTTTTGAAAGGAAGTTGCCCACAGGCAGGTTCATGGCAAAAAGACAAAAAGCAAAGCCAAGCAAACAAAAAAGAGAATAACCCTGAGCTGCTTTTATTCTCACCTGCTGTTTCAGGGACTAGTCCTCCCAGGTGAGGCCTCTTCTGACAGAGGGAATCTGCAGTAATTGCATCTCTTAGCCCAAAAGGTGCATTGCCTTTTAGTGAAACAGCTACACATACAACCAAAAACAGCAAAAGAGAAACCTGCTCACTCCCCACCTTATATAGATTCTGTGAGCACTGAAAAGGAGACACAAAGCACCTGGGAAGTCTTTAAAAATCACAGCTGCAGGAAACCTTCCCGCATGATTGAGCTATGAAGGTCTGACTCTGCAGGAAAAAAAGTGGTTTCAGCTGTGTTTTAAGGCAAGTCACAAGCTTGAACAGGGATGGCTGCTGCACGGCAATTTTGTTTTTCTGCAGTGAACAGGAGGGGCCTTTCACAATAGGGGAACAAGTCAAAACATCTTTCAGGGTTGCAGTGTGTGTCCCCTCCACACCCACCACTCCAGTGCACGATCTCTCTTGATACAACAATTAATGGGACTCAGCTGCCACAAAAAGAGAAAGGAGCAGCTGGGAATTTTCTGTGGTAAATGACTGACATGAGGTGGCCCCACAGCTTCCCTGCTGCTTCCAGACAAACCTTTTAAAGTAGGAGGCCTTCGGTTTCTTCCAGATGAGCTGAAATATTAACCAAGGTTAGAGAGATGGTGAGAGGTGATAATCCCAAAATAGCAGGTTGTGACTAACCAGGCATCTGGAACAGATTGCCCAGAGAAGTTGTGGATGGCCTGTCCCTGGAAGTGTTCAAGGCCAGGTTGGATGCAGCTCTGAGCAACCTGGTCTAGTGGAAGGTGTCCCTGCCCATGGCAGGGGGCTGGAACCAGAGGATCTTTAAGGCTCCTTCCAACCCAAACCATTCTGTGTTTCCATGTTTCTACCGTAATGGTCCATTAAATGTCACTTACAGAAATTTGGAGTATTTCATTTTGCTAAAGACTGAGGTTGGTTGTGCTTGATCAAGTATTTGGTCTGTAACCTCCCCATACTGACAGGGCAACTAGCTTCCTTGTTTGAGAAGTTATAGCCCTGCTATGGCTTAAAGCAGAGGCTTAAATCCTCTGTTCCAGACCTACTCAGAATGGAGCCATTTCACTCTCTTGTTCTGTCCTTCTTTCTTTGCTTTGCCTCACAGCCACCTTTTATATCTACACAACATTTTCCAGATTCTCTCTCCTTTAAAACATCTCCCTTTCAATTCACCTGATGCTCCTCCACACAACCATCTTATACAAAACTTTGTTTCCCTTGAAAATTTCTCTTGTCTTTCAGACAATATTTGTTACTTGCCCCTCTATCTGCCTTTACCATCTCTGTTGTTTCAAACGTCTCAGTCTCCAATTCCCACCCTCTCCTACTCACTCTGCGATGCTTGTGGAATTGCAACGCTTATGGAATTGGAATACATGGGGTAAGAGTTATTTAATTCTGAGTTGAAGAGTAGTCCACAGTTCAAGACACCAGGTAATTATTTCGGTCAGACGAGGGCAGTGTTACAAAACATCTTGGTTCCCAGTGCCGCACTTCACTGCTCCTCCTCCCGGTACAGCTATTTGTTTGCGTTCTGAAATTATCTAGGTTGGAAATAAAGAACCTCAGAAAAAAAAAAAAAAATGAAAAAGAGAAAGAAAAGGAAGAAGAGAGATTTATGCCGTCATCCCAGAGATCTAGTTTACAGCAGGGCCACACTGGTGTATCTGCAGAGGCAGCAAATGCTGTAGCCAGGGAGTGAGCAAATAAGGACAAGAAGAATTTCTGAGGCAGAAGCTCTCTGCCAAATGCAACATGTTCCAACAGCCCAAGATCTGCCCATTTGTTTTTAATCTTGGAATTTGAAACTGCAGTGATCTGGCCCTTACTGCACATTAAAGTTTTCTTGTGTGTACATCACTCTTATATTTGACTCTCTAAGCCCCTTTCCCTTCTTCCAAATGGGTTGCCACAAGTCCTTGGACCTAACACAGAGCAGTAATTTCTTTTTTTGAATAGGCAAGTGACAAAGATGACAATTCCTGCCTCAGTATAGAGGTAGATGCCAAGCTCTAGCACGTGGTAACTGTAAGAAACATTTAATGAACTTCCTTGGGGAGGAGACTGAACAGTGCAATGGAAAGTCCCCTC